GAGGAGGGGGTAGGTTATTATATTTCTTGTCGATTTGTGTTTCGGAAACCGAGATAACCTCCGGCCAGATGGCGTACTTGCCTCGAGAATAAACTAAATCTTTACTCTGGTAACTTATGCAGCCACTATACCAGATACTTCTCATGTTACGTGTACTGTCGATTGCCAGAGCGTTGACACCTCAACGGCATATTCCGTGAACGATAAGACCCAACAGCTTTATGGGAGATATTCGCATAGTTACGCAATCAGTATTCATGGAAAATCTCTGTTGGCTTCTATCATTTACCACATGCAACTAACACACCTTATTGAGTTTATCAGGTACATTTGTACTCATGAAGCTATTGGGCATCACCGTTCACTGCCAAGGCCTTTAAGGAATCAACCAATATGCAACCAAGTGTACATAAAACAAGAAGCTTGCAGTTCGAACAATGACTCAAAAATTGACTCAAATAACCTTCATTTTACCTGACTCATTCGTGGTATTTCACTGCCTCTCTTTTCACTGTCTTCATCAGTCAGAGTTCTATGACTTCGTGCGACTGTTTTCAACGAAACACTCAAGGGTGACTCCTCTTTAGTGCGAACCCTCGAGACGCACTCATCAAGCGGCGGGAGCTGATCAACTGACTGCGTCGTCATGTCCTCAACACTTTCACCTTCAGTAAGCTCATCACAGCTGTCTACTGACTCTTCATCGCTAACTTGCGCAGTGTCGTCGTCGCTCAGGGCGGGAGGGACGTGCATGCGGTACATGAACTGCATACGATCTTGGAGTTCACCCTTACAGATAATACCCAGCCCTTGCGCAAACTCGCGGAAACTAATGAGTCCGTCTTCATCTCGATCAATCACCTTAGCATGGAAAACAACAAGCAAGACAACGATAAAAATCATGTCAAAAGAGAGCCGCATTAAAGAACATTTTCCCAAACGGAATATTCAGAGAAGTTTTAAGCCCCATCCACACCAAAATGGACAGAATATTCCCTCTGGAAACGCTGTTAAGAGTAATCCGTTGACTATGGAAGACGGGTTAAAAGTTTACCGTTCACACTACAACAATAAGCAGCGAATGAAACGCTTCCCGGCATTCCCAGATATCTTTAAGCACTGACCTTGAATGCTCGCTGAGTCAAGATAGGACCAATCTCC